TATACGGTTGGCAGAAAAAATTTCTACAAGTGTATTTGTATGTTCTGTAAGAATTCACAGGTGTATAGTAGAGCTGACAAGGGACAAGATTGTAGTCATTTCTTGGGCACAGCCAGCCACCCAGAGGGAGTAGTTGAACCTGTGGACTCAGGATCATAGTTGCAGGGACATCAAGCTCAATTGGCATAACATATTACACAAAGCATTGTTCCACCTCCTACTTTGGTGAGTAGCAACCGGGATCTTAAAAGCTTGCAAGCAGCCATCTAGATGCAACTATGGGTCTCTCCTCATCCAGAGCAAAAAAGAATAAAGAAAAACAAAGATTCACGGAACTAATTAGTCCTAGCGACTGATACAACATGCGATCCTCAGCCTATATGACTATGAGACCAGAAGAACTAGATGGTGCCCAGCTACCACTGTCAACCACTCAGAGGAGGATCTCCGTAGGAGATGCTGGATAGAGAGGGAGAACAATGTGGAACAAAACTCAAAATTATTTGGGGGGGAAAAAAGGGACCAGATTTGCTGGTCTGATAGAACCTGGTGGAACCACTGAGACTATGGCCCCTAGCTGCCCTTCAGGTCTGGAATTGAACCCACACCTGTGGTTTCCAGCCAAGCAAAAGACATGCATATGAGGTGAACATTTACACTAGGTAGATACACTCCTTGGAGAATAATCATGGGAGAATAGAAGGGCTGTTTATGCACAGGGACATAGATCAGGGGGCAGGAGTGCATGGATGGAAGGACACAGGGAAGAGGTAACTATGGGGAGGAAGTGGGAGGGCAGCTGTTGCATTGTGGTAAATTGTAGTCAATGTCATGAGACAAAGTGTATGTGAAGAGCCATATGGAAAGTGAATTTGCTCTGTAACCTTTCACCCAAATCACAATAAATAAATAAATAAAGATTGGTGTGCAAATTGGGCTGTAGGTTGAAGCCAGCTTGGACTGGTCCTTAGTTCAAGACCTAAGCATCTCTGCGCTGGGACAGCACTCTGAGTCCCTTCATATCATTTTCTCCTAACCATCCTCCAAGCAAACCCAGGAAGTATGCAGGGCAGCTGCTACCATCCCATATCAGAAATGCAGACACTGGGGCCCAGAGAGATAACCAACATAGTCCAGTTAGTGCAAAGCTAGGATAAGAAGCCAGATTTCTGTCTTGCAGTGCAGAGCTTTCTCCACTGCCTCATGTTGCTCTTCATCTACCACCCACCTCCCCCATCTGCTCAGCAGCACTCAGAGAGGGTCAAGCTGTCAGGAGTAGCTCCCATGCTCGGACCGCACATCCTCTCCAGCCAAGTGAAACTACTGCCCTTAGGGCCTTGCCGCTCCTTCTCCTCCTGGCAAGAAGCTTGGGAGCTTCATGGAGGACCACCGGAAATACTTGTTGAAGGTGCCCACTTGGAGCTTGGGTTCCAAGCTGCTTGCTTCAGCCAAAAACATCTCAGCTCCCCAAGAAGCCCCCCTCTCTAGCATCCCCCTCACCTTGTCGGCCTACCGGGCCTTGAACCCCAGGGTCCCCAGCAAGTCCAGGGATGCCATCAATGCCTGGTAGACCCAAAGGCCCAGGAGGAGCCTGGATGGCTTCTGCGATTGGTGTTTGCCCAGGAGCACCTCGGGGGCCGGAAAAGCCTGTGGGTAGGTGGGGAAAATGAAAATGTCAGACTGAGGCAGAGGGGGTGGCCCCCAAGAGGGGAAGCATCTCAGAACCTTCCTCTCTGTCTTTCCTATTAGTCTCCACAGGATACCTCCACGGTGGCTTTCAAGGCCCTTTACACAATGCCCTCTCTACCCATCTATCTCCTGAGTGGACTGGTAGCTCCTTGAGGGCAGGGACTGGGTCATATTCACCTTATCTCTTCAGGTTCCAGCACAGGGCCTGATATGTAGAGGCAGTTGGGAAGTGTGTGTTGTGGATACGGGAAGCTGAGCCTTTGCTCAGGGCTGGAGCAGTTGGCTTACTCCCTTAGTGGTCCAAATGCAGTGACAAGGAGATTGAGGGGATGTGTGCAACCCCAAAGGTTCAGTGGCATCACAGCCTAGGATCCTAACCCTTGCCAGTGGGCTTACTAATGGAAGCCAGGCATACCAGTTTGCTTTCTAATTAATTCCACAATGGCATGCTTCCTATGCACCAGACCCCTTGTAGATCTGGGGACAGAACTGTAAGACAGACCCTTCCAAAGGTCATGGTCTGGTGATCATAATGGAAATGCATGATGTGAGGAATACCATAATCTCACTGCAAGTTGTGAGAAGTGCTATGAAGAGAGAATGTAGTGACAGTGGGGGAGGTGGAGCCAAAGCAGATATGAGATGGAGGAACCTACATTAGAGAGGGTGATCACTGGTGTCTCATAAGAGGTGAATTTCAGCTGAGACTAACCATTTGAAGACTAGGGAGCAACTTGCTGCCATTGAGTCAATCCCAACTCATAGAGACCCATCTTTGTGTTTCCAAGGCAGTATCTCTGTGAAAGTAGATTGCTCAGTCTTCGTTTTGAGGAGTGGCTGGTGGGTTTGAACTGGTGGGTTTGAACCACCAGCCTCCTGGTTAGCAGTCAAATGGCTTAGGCACTACACCACCAGAGCTCCTAAGAGTGTTGCAGCAAGTAGACTTAGCCTGTGCAAAGCCCCTGTGGCAGGAAAAGGCTTGATATTTTTGGGTAACTGGAAGGGGCCAGTGTGGCAGGAGCACAGTGACCACCATAGGGAGAGGGCTGGCAATGAACATTAAGAGGAAGGTATCACAGAGGGCTTTGTGGACCATACTTTATCCCTATGACACGGAAGCCATTGGGTGATTAGTTTTTACACTATTATCTCTTCCCTGCTGTGTGGAGAAATGATTGCTGGGGAGGCAGGAAGCAGGGAGACCAGTTAGCAGGCCACTGTGGTGGTTCACATGAGATATGTTGGTGGCTGGGACCTGGGTGGTAGTGGTGGAGGTGATGAGAGGTAAGTGGATACAAGGCACATTTGGGAGGTAGAACCCTCAGGACTTGCTAATAGATCGGATGTGTGTGTGTACGGGTGGTAAAAGGTGGTTCTTCATTTCTGTATTGAGCAAATGGGTGGCTGGTGATCTGAGGGCAAACTTAACCCCCACGAATGCAGAAGTGATGCAGGGAGGTGAGGTCAGTGGCAGGATGCATGGCACCGAAGCAGCTGTGGCGTTCAGTCCTGGGAACTGATAGAGGCAGAAGTCTCCCCAGAGTGGAGAAACCTCCTCCCCAGAGAAGCTTGATCTTGGCTGCTTCAGGTATCTAGGCTTTCTTGGTGAGATGAGCAGTCACTCCTGAAGGGACGTTACCCCACACCCTTCCCTCGAACTCAGGGCCAGCTCAGCACATGCTCTCAACTCACCTCTTGGCCCTGCCTTCCCCTTCATTCCCGGAAGTCCTGGGTCTCCAGGTGGCCCAATTTTGCCTGGAGTTCCCATGACACCAGGCTCACCTCTCATGCCTGGCAAAGTCCAAAGGGAAGCAAGTCAAGGCCTGGCATGGGAGGCTGAGAATAGGCAGAGGTGAGGTCGGCTTGTCTTTCTTTACAGGGCTGCAGGAAGGTGTCCACTCTGACCGGGGAGTAGGGAAAGGCCCAATAGATAGCTAAGCAGCCATACCTTTCAGTCCTAGCTCTCCAGGGAGGCCAGAGAAACCTGGGATTCCTTGGTCTCCCTCGGGCCCTTGGGGGCCAGTAATTCCAGGGAAGCCAGGGTCTCCAGAATCGCCTTGATCCGAAGATGGCCCAGGAGGACCCAAGGGCCCAGGGGGGCCTGGATGGCCTAGGGATAAGATCAGGGAGGGATGAGGTGCAGGTGAGCAGGAAGTGGCCACTACTGAAGGCCTCAGAACTGACAGGAAGCCAAAGTCCATTCCGAGGGCAAAGAATGTGTCTGTGGGGACCCAGCACCCAACTTTCCCAAACCCTTGTGGCATAATGCAGTCACTTCCAGTCCCCTGTGTCCCTGCTGGGGGGAGTGATGCGACACCAAGCAAGTCCAGCTTATATAAGCACTGGGCTGGACTGTACACAGGGCTTCCCATACTGCAGGCCTACGGTTTGGGCCATCCCTCTTTTGGGCTTCCTGTCTTTACCTTGTTCTCCATCTAGGCCTGGTCGCCCAGGGTCACCAGGCTGTCCTACTATGACTGAGGGCAAGGAGATGCCTGGGGCACCAGGGAGACCAGCAGGGCCCTGGAGACCTGGGAAACCTGCAAAGAATAGATAAAAGGGGCAGGATGGGCTTTGTGTGTCCAGAAGAGGGCCAGGCTCTCTCAGAGAAAATGGAAGCCATTAGGTAGGAGGCAGACCACAGGACACCAGCAGAGGGCTCGTCATCCCACCTTCCTACCCAGCAAGCACCCAAACACATAACCGACAAGGGCTCAGAGACACCCCCTCTCCTCCCAACAGGAACTGCCTGCTTTTTATTAAGATAAAACCAGGAAAGGTTTAGCTCCCCAATGTCACTGGCAGTGGAAATATTTTAGGCTGTACCAAATTACCCAAAACTCAGAAAGGAAAGAAAGCATGACCATAACACTTGGAATTTAAGTTGCCCAAAGTGTTTTTAGACCTACTGTCATCATCAGAACACATTTGATAAGAAAGTTACAGATAGTGATGAAGCACAGGCCACATCTTGTCAGGACAGAGGCCAGCCCAACCAAAATGGAGGCCAGCAAAGGCCTGTGTCTCCTGACATCTTCTAGGGCTACCAGCAAACTGGAAAACAATTTTTTTAAAAGATAATTCAAGATACTAGCTGAATGAATGCTTTCCAGAAAAGTTACCTATAAAACAAGATTCCAAGGGGAACCGGTGCTGTGCTTTGTACTAAATCCACCTTTTTTTTTTCGGGGTTGGGGGGGGGAAGAAACAATAGTAATTTATTCAAGTAGCTACAGAATACTTGTTTGCTTGCATTTAATACTGCTTTACATGTTTTCTGTTTGTGGAATGATTTCTATTGTAATATGTTCAAAATCAAAATTTTCAGTAGATTCCAGAAAATTTATTTAATATCCACATATCAAGTACATAGATGATAATCTTGAGGGCAGAATACATCAAGGCTATACATACAAATGTGGAAGTTCCTATTATCCATGTGGCATGGAAGAAACAGCTATTATTTTTATGCATTCTAGAAGGTCTTCAAATGAAGAGAAATAGATTCAAATTGATTGATAAACTGTTCTGATGGTTGAGATTCTTATTTTTTATTTGTGGCAATAAAGTCCAAAATTTTACTGTTGAATTTTATTTTTGTGGCAAGAAAATCCAAACAAAAATACGTTGAACTTCTCATCTTACATTCATCCACAAAGTAAATCCATGAAAACTTGTAAATGAAGACAGTAGATTGGTTAATTCAGGTGTTTTGCAGTAGCCATGATCTAATTAATTGATTGCTGAGGAAATGTAAAAAAGATAATTACAGAGAAAAGACTACCAGTTGTTATCTAGTGATTTAGGTCAGGAAGAAAAGAAACAACAACAAAAAATTAGTTTCAAAGCCACATGATACTATTTATAGCATCATCAGTTATGTCTTGGTGAACCTCTGAAGAAATTTTCTTTTTCCTAACGGTTAAACTCTGAAAAGAAACATATATTGCATTTTTTTTCCCAGAAAATACAGCTTTATGCATATGTATATATAATATATAGCTATAAAAAAGGAGCTCTGGTAGCGTAGTGCCTAAGGCACTTGACTGCTAACCAGAAGGCTGGCAGTTCAAACCTACCAGCCACTCCTTGGAAGGAAGGTTGGGCAATCTACTTCCATAGTGATACTGCCTCGGAAACCCAAGGAGGGGTCGCTATGAGTTGGGTCCAACTTGATGGCAAATAACAACAACAACAACAGCTATAAAAATACCCAAAGCCAAACCCATTGCCAGTGAGTCAATTCCAACTCATAGTGACACTATAAGACAGAGTAGAACTGCCTCAAAGCATTTCCAGGGCTGTTAATCTAAGGGAAGTACATTGCCTCATCTGTCTCTGACAGAGCAGCTGGTGGGCTCAAACCACGGACCTACCGATTAGAAGCCAAGTGCTTTAACCACTGTGTCACCAGAGCTCCTATATAATATATAAAACCAAACTCACTGCCATCAAGTGGAATCCGACTCATAGCGATCCCTCCTTGGGTTTCCGAGGTGGTATCTCGACGGAAGTAGATTGTCCAACCTTCCTTCCGAGGAGTGGCTTGTGGGTTTGGACCACCAGCCTTCTGGTTAGCAGTCAAATGCCTTAGGCACTACGCCACCAGAACTCCCATATAATATAGAAAGAAGCTAAAATTATGCAAAACTAATAAACAAGACACCACTTACAGTAGAGTAAGTGTGGGCAGCATAGAGAATAGAAAAAGTTCCCGTGGCAGTTTTTGAAGCCTCCTCTTCCCCTTACCTGTGTTTTTATTTTATAACTGCACTGCTATTATCAAACCTGAAATAATGGTGCCACTAACATCAATTAGTGCAAAAAACTCATGTTTTTCTTAAGAATAAAACACTTTACACTGAGCTTCCAGTAAGGGTGATGGTGGGAAAATCTGGAAGCAGATAATGGTGATGCAGAATGCGATGAACACAAGTAAGGTCACTATTGCACATATAAAGAATGTTTAAATGCAAACATTTTGTTACCTGTTTGCCACACACACACACAAAATACAACACTTTAAATGAGCAGATGCAAATGCAAGATGCATTTTTCCAACTCATGCTAGTGTCAAAATATAAAAAATTCTAAATATACAAATGTACCCTCTCAATATTTAGTGCAAATATGAAAATGAATGACAACATTTAAAGTTATTTAGATAAAGTTATTGCGAGGACAGAGATCGCTCAGTGGAGTTTTCTTAGGGGTAAATCTACTTTTTACATTGCCTTTCATTATCAAATCAGAGTTAGGTTCTTGTTGAGGGAGGGTATATTTGCTGTATGTATAAACAGATTGTTTTAATTACGTATTGAGAGAAAACAATATTTGTAAATCACATGTAAAGAATAATCCAGATGCAATGAACACCTTTGTTGCAACCACTGATTTAAGAAAAAGAAGATAGCATTACCTTGGAATTTCCCTGAGTGTTTCTCAGGGATCCTATTCCATTCTCTCCCTCTCAGAGGCTACTATTGTTGTTCATGTGCCGTCGAATCGGACCTGACTCATAGCGACCCTTCCTTGGGTTTCTGAGGCGGTATCACTACAGAAGTAGATTGCCCGACCTTCCTTCTGAGGAGTGGCGGTGAGTTTGAACCACCAGCCTTCTGATTAGCAGTCAAGTGCATTACGCTACCAGAGCCTATAGGGCTCAGAGGCTATTAGTTAATTAAAATCATTGCTATTGCGTGACTCCAACTCATTGCCAACCCCCATGTGTGTCAGAGTAGCACCGAGCACCACAGGGTGCTGTAATCTTATAGAAGTAGATCACCAGAGCTTTCTTCCGTGGTGCTTCTTCTGGGTGGATTTGAACCACGAACCTTTTGGTTCGTAGCCAAGCACAAACTGTTTGCATCACCCAGGGATCCGCTCAGAGGCAACTGCACCTAAATATTTGTGTTTGTCATGCCCTTCTTTTCATCACAGTTTGACCATGTATATTCTGTATCCTTAAATGATATAGTGTTTGGTTTTTGCTCATTTTTGAACATTTACTACTGGAATCATACCAAATGTATTTTTCTGCAATTTGCTTTTGTTATTATTCAATATTATGTTCCTAACCTATATCCATCGTGACATGTAGTGTTGACTGTCTTTGTAACTATGATTTTGTGACCTCAGAAAGTGAAAGCAGATGAATAATACCCAGACATTCACAGTCAAGATTTGGAAATGGGAAAGGAAATGCCCCTTTCTATTTGTTCCTCTTTTCTCTATCTCCTATGAACGGAAACCACACATTCCCCCTGCAGGCTTGGATCATTTTGAGCCCTTCCTCTGGAGAAGCTGCTGGCTTTCAGAACAGTACAGGTTGGTCCAGACAAAAGGAAAGAGTAAACACAGAAACAGCAGATGCACCAATTCAAAATGCAGCAGGAAATGAATGAATGTTCAAATATAGTTCCTGGAAAACGCACGCACGTTATACAAACGTGCACATAAACAAAGTGTGGTGAGCTCTCAGGGCCCAGAGCTATGAGGTACCGACCACTTTGCAAATGTGATTTTGCAGTTAACATACAATATAATAGCCAGTTCTTCTTGAGCACCTATTATATGTCAGGCCATGTGACAAGTGCTTTTATAGAAATGATCTCACTCCTCATTGGTTCTTCATAAATCTTATGAAGTAGGTTCTCTTATTGTGCCCATTTTATAGAAAAGTTTAGAAAACTAAGGGTTCATTTGGTATAGAGGGATAAGTAACTGCCTTGTAACTTGCTTGTTCAAGGTCATATATGTAATTCAGAGGCAAAACTGGAATTTGAACCCAGTTGGTCCGACTTCAGGGCCCACTATCTTAACCATGATGTTACATTGAATTCATTTCCCATGTTATACTGAGTGGGATATATATGGGTCTTCAGAACATTCCTAAGGAAAGAAAGATAATCAGAATTCATTCCTACTATTTGAGAGGTGGGAGATGGAGGCTCAGAAAAGGACTTCAGGCATTGGAGTGAGTCAGGGGCAGAGATTAGGGTGGATCCTGTTTTCCAGATAATGCAGCAAATACTAATTGAGTGCATCTGTGCAGCTAACCTGGGGAGACAAACATTTACCATTTATCCTCTTAGCCATGTGTTCCTTTTAGCAATCACATTGTTCCCCCAGGGCCCAGGCCAGTGCCATCTACACCAGACACAGGAAATTCTGGCAAACTTCTCACTAAATGGTCAAGCCCTGTTCCTCAGGACAATTAAGCCCAGGCTCTGGCCAGGAATAGAAGAGAGACCCTGAGGTTTATAAGGAAGAACAGGAGTGAATTTGGAGGCTACAGGGGACCTGTGAAACTGCCCCTTTGACACCTCGTGCAGCCCTAGGGACAACCTACCCTCTCTTTCTCAACAGGTGATCAGTCTCACTGGATTTTGACACTCCCAGAGATGTGAAGACATGCACAGCTCAACCCTGTGAGTCACATGACCCAGGTGATGTCACCCCTGGCTTCCTCAGCTTCTACAGACCTGACTTGGGCTCTCTTACCTCGGCCACCTTTTGGTCCTCTGACACCTGATTTCCCTGGGGCTCCAGTCCCAATTCCTGGAGAGCCTTTTTCCCCTTTGGGTCCAGGCAGGCCGGCAGGTCCAGGCACACCGGTTATACTGGGTCCTAGGAGGAGATGCAGAGGGAGGGGGACAGAACTCATTGGGGGTGAGGGCCTCGTGCCTACCTCACTTGTCTGAGGCCTGATAGACACCAGAGGCTGAGTACTGAGGAAACAGGAAGAAGAGCTCATTTGGGTAAGATAAACCCTATACTCCTTCTTTGCCACATCAAAGGACCCCCAGCTGGGGCCTGGCAAGGAGATCTATGGACCTAAATATATGAGATGCACTTCAGTGGGGAACTCAAGGCCAGCTAGGCTTTCGGAAGAGCTAGTGCCCTCCTTCTCACCCTTTGGTGTCATCCTTACCTAGAGTCCCCTGGGCACCTTTAGTGCCTGGAAGCCCATTTAATCCACGTAAACCAGGAAATCCAGGGAAGCCTGGGGAGAGAAAATGTCAGGAATAGCTTCAGCAACTCTGAGTCATAAAGGGGCAGTAAGAGGTAGCAAGCTGCCCCCAAGGACACTGTAACATTCTCATTTTAAAGGTCATGGTCTTTCCTGAGGCATTACCTAGTACCCTAAGGGAGAATAGACCACCCCTAACCTATACCCCGACCCTAGATTTTTCATTATATTTTATATTTCAACGTAGGGTAAGAACTCAGAGTGGCCATTCCAAGACCCTGGGTTGCCAATTCTCAGACCCTGGTTCCAGAGACTCACTACATGATCTTTGAGTCAGTGACAGACTACACATGTCAGAGCAATGCCCTTTCTGAAGATTCCATCTTCTATTTACACTCATGCTTGCCCTCCTTCCTTCTTCATCCTTCTCCTTTCTTTTTCTTCCAGTCAATGACTCTCCTAGGTATGGCTTATCCTCAGCTAGTGTCTCCAGGAATAAGTAGTTGATGGCTTTTTTTGAGTGAAGGATACTTTCCCCCACTGCCTGCTTCCGGATGCACATACCTTTAGGTCCTACTAGGCCAGGGTGTCCAATGGGCCCAAGTGCCCCTGGACGACCAGGAGAACCTGGAAGCCCTGACTGTCCTCTCAGTCCTGCAGTCCCAGGGAGTCCTAAAAGTGAAGCCAAGGCAGAAGATCAGAATGTGAACATAGTTTGAAGCTAATCCTAACCCTTTCAGAATAAAGTTGTCATGTGAGATGGTACCTGGGGAGCCAGGAAAGCCAAGGCCTCCAGAAAGTCCATCTTTCCCATCTTCACCTTTATTTCCTCGGAAACCCACATCACCAACTGGGCCATCTTTTCCTTTGATACCTACACCATGAAAAATACTGAATATGATCAAGTCCCATTTCAGGGAATGTGTTCTCCACAGGACAGGTTGAGCAGGAAGGTGTAAGTACCATGAACTGAGGGTACAAGATCTAAGGATGTTCAGCCCAATGAAGAAGCTCTGAAAAGGACTGTGGTGGTTATGTTTGTGTGTCAACTTGGCTGGGCCTTGTTGAGTGGTTGGGCAGCTGGTGGTAGTTATTCCCCATGATGAGACTGGCAATCAACTCCATGGTGGGATCTACCACAAGCAGCTGAGTAGCTGCCTTTGGGATGGGGTCTGCTTCCTGTATTTAAGGAGAAGCCTTGGGAATGGTCTCTAGCCTATAGCATGTAGCCATGTCGTTGTTCAGCAGCCTGCCATGCTCTGCCGACCTTGGGACTTACAATGGACTTAAAATAATGGCCTGCCATGTGGTTTGGTAACATCTGGACTGTGCCTTTTTCCTTGTCAACCTTGGGGCTTCTCAGCCTCAGCAGCCAGCAGCTGTCTGAGTGAAGAAACGCCTCTAGCTTCAGTGGGTTGGGAGCAGGAGGCAGAGCTGGACCCCAAGGTTGAGGGGCTTTCACCCAGCCCCTAGAGCCTGGCAGTTTGAACTCAAACTTAAAGCCTCCAAATTGTAAGAGAATAAACTCCTGTTTGTTAAGGCCGCCCCATTTGTGGTATATTCTTGTCAGAGCGGCACTAGGGAACCAGAACAAGGACTATGGCAGCTCTCTTCACATTTGGAAGGTGCCACCCAATTGAAAAGTGAACTTGTTCTGTGTGCTACTAGAACCAGGAGCAGTGGGTGGAAATGTTCAAGAAGCACGGTTTAGATAACTATCTATTCAACTAAGGGGGTGGGTGCCATTATTCCAAAGGTCTCTGCTTTAAAAGGAGTGCAGCCTGGTTTGCTTGGTAAAACAGTGGCTGCCTGTGAATGGACATGGGTCAGGTGGGAATCTTTCTGCACTGGATGAAAGTTGCAGAACTTGGAGTCGATCCTCATATTCCTTCCATCCCTCAGCTTGGAGGAGTCTGGGAAGCACATGATACAAAAGTACAGCAGCCTTACCTGTAGTGCCAGGCTCCCCAGGTTGTCCCGTGGGTCCTGGGCTACCAGGAATTTCAAGTGTCTGGCCTGGATCTCCTGGGGATATCGAGACATTTTTCAAATCATCAGGAGAAGCTATAGCTCATTTTGCACCAAAGACAACCTTTGAGTGCAAAATCTTTTTAGACTCAACCTGGACAGAGGAACTCCTTGACCAAATCACCCACGAAGTAAGAGGTGATCAATCACCAATAAGGAGCAGGGGTGCTGCCAGGTGATTGGCATGACATGCTGCTATATGCAACATACCTCCACTAGGCTCAGTATGGGTAGGTAGGGTGATAGGAGGGGTCTTAAAACATCATTAGAATAAAACAGTGAGGACAGCAAGGCTGGGAAAATTTCCTTCCCAGTAGGTTGGGTTCAGCAAGAAAAAAATTTCTACAATGTTCCCCTTTGCTGCTGAGACTGGAAAACAGCTGGGTTGAACCACATAGTCAAAGGACAGCCTTTTCCTTAGCTCCAAGAAAGCCGTGGAGAGAGAGAGTGTAGGTACTACTGTTTGTTGTATCGTCTTAGAGGACCAAAGGCTGCTAAGGGGCTTTGGCCCCTTAAACAACCTGTTTCCCCTAAACAAAGAGTCTCCCACAAGTCTCCCCTGGGCCTGCTAGAATTTTACCTTGCTTTTTTAAAAAAATACATTAAAAAAGAAAATGTTCCTTCAAAAGTTGGAACTAGAAATGCCATTTGACCCAGCTATTCCATTACTAGGTATATACCCTAAAGAAGTGAGAGCCATGACAAGAAC